TAAGCACTTTATAGGTTTCCAAAGAAATTCTATGGTATCTTACTGAGAAAACCTGAGCGAAAAGTCGAATTCTCGCTTTCTAAACTTTTAATTCTGAGGTGAGGTGGTGCAGTGGCATGTGGTGTGATTATTACGCGCACGATTCGGAGATCGAAATTTCAAATCTAATTTCGATTGAGATGAGCAAGCCTCCAATGTTCCGGACTCGAATACTTGGTACTAGACTCGTCTAGGAGGACAGAAAGCGCTGGAAAGTTTATAGATGCTAATACAGATTGCCCGCATTATTCAAATGCGGGGCGCATTCTGCTTCTATCGGAATCTTAGTGGCTTTTGAATATGGTGGCCTATAAGAGACTGATCTGTTGCGAATACTTTTTCCCTCATATTTCAAAGGCTTTTACTTCCAAATACTCAAATTGTCGTTGTCGGTCACATGCAATGGAGCGCGTTAAAATTTAACGCTGTGGTCAAATATTTCGGTATGATTCTTGGCTTCTGATGCTTGTGTCTCCGTGAATCACCGGAATATCTTATGGTTAGGCAGCCACCTGTGCACCCATCAACTAATTCGATCATTGCGGGATGGAGATCAAGTTCATCTTTTCTTTTAAAGGCATGCCCCAGGATCACATTGGTGTGGCTCTTGCACACGAATGCGAATGTATTGGTGCGAAATGGGCCGGCAGTAAAGAAAAAAGGAAAAGAATCCGTCGAAAACGCTTAGGTTAAGGGCTCACTCACCTTCCTAATCGGCTGTGCTAAGGGAATGAGAGACTAAGCGCGGAGAGGAGAGTATGAGGCGAGAGAGCGCTACAGATGAGAGAGCGCCAGACAACAGCCTGATAAGAGAAAAAATCTGCAGCTTCAGCAGCTTACTTTGCAAGGCCAAGCGCTCTTGTCGGTTGGTTTCCGTGCACGGGAACGCCACATTTGTGATTGTCCTCTAGGGTATACTACAGACCGAAGGGAAGCGTTCACACGACCTCTGCCTGGGTTGTGCCTTTAACACATTTATTCTCACATATATGTTTTATTTTTCACCACCAAGTTAAATATCGCTTAATTCGTCAACCTTTACTGATGACCCCGGGGGCTGTCGAAATGAATGTGGTTCGTCTAAGTTCAAAGGCAAAACGGACCACAGCTTCGCTTCTTATAATAAATTCCTTCTCTACGAGAAAATCTTCTCCTTTGGTGAGATTTTGTGAAACAACGGTGGATTGAAGGCACAATCCAGGCAGAGGTCGTGTGAACGCTTCTGTAGTATAGACCCCTAGAGGACAATCACAAATGTGGCGTTCTCGTGCACGGAAACCAACCGACAAGAGCGCTTGGGCCTTGCAAAGTAAGCTGCCCAAGCTGCAGACTTTTTTCTTATCAGGCTGTTGTCTGGCGATCTCTCATCTGTAGCGCTCTCTCGCCCCATACTCTCCTCTCCGCGCTTAGTCTCTCATTCCCTTAGCACAGCCGATTAGGAAGGTGAGTGAGCCCTTAACCTGAGCGTTTTTGACGGATTCTTTTCCTTTTTTCTTTACTGGCGGCCCACTTCCCACCAACACATTCGCATTCGTGTTGTACAAGAGCCAGCCTATGGCTCGATCGATTATTAAGCATTTTGGCGAGTTTGATCAACTCTTTGAATGCTTTCATTTCGCACTCTACTATCGCAATCGTAATGAATTTGAGTGTTAGACTTTTCCGAGGGCTCAAAAAGACTTTTTTATAGATTAAGTGGCCCTCGCAAGTCACCGCAACGTCAGCAATCAAACACCGTCTTCCTGGATGGAATTGGAATGAGTGGCGCATCCCAACACCGGATTGATCGACGCGCAAAATGTTTCTTGCTCATGCAGTTATTCCTTTCTAGTTATTTTTTTTTTCGAAATTTCCAGCAGTTTTATGAAACTTCCCAATTTTTGTTTTAGAGTGATCATGGTCCAATGTCCACTGTGCGGTAAGATGTTATCGAGGAACTCCAACCTCGACGACATCTCGTGAGAAGTGCATGGGATGGACTATGTCGTAATGAGAAAGCTGCGTGCATGAAGGGATAGTGAAAGTGGGTCGTGAGACATGTCCCGTTTGTCAAGAATCTTTGGATTCTCCAACCGAGTTATTCGTACACGCTCGGCACAACCATAATTTTCACGGTGATATTCAAAAGAAAACATTCGCTAATTACGAAGAGTTCGAGGTTAGCGATCACTCATTAATCTGATCTACCTTATTTCTTTGTTGTTGTTGGAAATTTTGTTTATTATTGTTTTTTATTGGTTATTTATTTATTTATTTATTAATATACTATTTAGGTTCTATATTTATTTATTATTAATGTCCAGTCGTGTACTTATTCAGCCACGGAATAGGCCATCAACAAGTGACGGGAAAATTTTTGGATAGAAGTACTAAGTTTCAGGGTAGGACGAGAAATAAGAGAACTTATGAAAATGAGTGAAATTTATGAATGAGCGTAAATTAGGAATGAGATGGAAAAGTATGATAATAAAAAGGAACGGTGCGAACAGTCTTGGGTCTCTCCCCTAATTCCATGAATGGGTCCGCTTTCATTTTCGCGTAAATTCGTACCTTTTTGGGCCCAGTTTTTGTGTCGGGGAAGGTTTTTTTGGAGGAAGTTTTCACGCCAGAGTCAAAAAATTGTACGAAAATTAGTTAAGTGAACATATGCAACAAAGAACACGTCGATTGAACTAGGCGTGCTACAACTGATGCGCCAATTTGGCCATGCAGACTCATCCTTGAGGTTTCAGGGCTTTAGGATTTCAGGGCAATTTGATCCAAATTTTCTTACTTTACAGGAGAAAATTGTACAGAATGCAAAGTTTATCATATCATATAGAATATATAATTGTTGGTATAAATTGTTTAGCAGAGTAGTGTGAAGGAAAGACTGGAGGTGCAATACGCCACTGTTTGGAATCGAAAGAACAGGCACGAGAGAACAGTGTTACCAGTTTTTTCAGATTACAGGTGAGACGTGATATACCATTGCTGAGAAGCACATTCCGAAAACGCACCGGTGTGGTCATTGTTTCAGAGATAGAAGTGAGTTTTTTACTACTGAGAAAAGAAAAATTAACTTTAACGTCAAAAAAGCAAAAGAACCCGCGTTTTTGGCCCACATCTAAGTCCCGTCGATAAGCGGGTCAATCAAAAGGACGCAGCCACTTACTCTTTGCAAAGGGCGCCGCCAGAGATGCTTTTACCCGTACTCGCGGAAGTGGAGGACTCGATCAACGATGACCTGCAGGGATTGCCTGCCTTCAGGCTGGACCGGCTTTGATCCTCTCGCAACCGCATTTTCAGTGTAATGTTTCTCGAAAAGAAATGAAAAATCGAAATCAGTCTGGATCAGAAAACCGTGAGCAGAACTTTTGGTAGCTCTTTCTCGAGATCGAAACTGCGCTATAAACCTGTCCATGCATTTCTTTCGATTTCGCGAAATGAACAACTGTTTTGCCATAACTGGAGCTTCTTCTCTGCTAGTTAGCAAGCCATAGCCCGGCCCAATCATTCGCATTAGGTTGGCTTTGTCAGTGAAGTTGGAGTCTGAATCGTGGAGCCATCTAGGGGAATATTTCTGAAGCAATCGTTTGCGCATGGTTGTGTGACCAACATTCTCGAGCAAGTCCGCATCTTTTGTAGATCGCAGAGGGCTTAATTTTTCACTAGCAAAGGGTTTTATGGAGTAGTGCTAGGGTTATCTGCCAGTGCAGCTCATCCGTCCAGTGGCATAGTTAAGTGAAGCGGATGTAGTTCATGCTAAAGCTTTTAATCAGAAGAGTTGGACTTATATAGGATAAGAATATTCGTATTTTCTGTTCAGAGCAACAACCAGTCAACGGCGTCTCTCATTAAAGCGAAGACTCCGCATGAGGGAGAAAGTATATCGTAGCTGCACCTCGTTTATGAACGTGAGATTCAGTCCGTGATCGATGTTAAGTGCAGATCAGCCTTAATTATTTTCAGGTAAAGACCGATGTGACTGGTATCACCAATGTTGAATTTTGTCTTGAACATCTTGGACATGGACATATGACGGAATATCGTGCATATGAAGATGAGGAAATATCGTCCGAATCACTGGGTACGACAGATTCGCCAGGTAGAATGGAGGATTCTATAGAAGAACCTGATGAGGGAATTGAACGATTATATTGGACTGCATCAGAAGACATTCGCCACGTTATTGGAGGGGTATGTGATAAAAATTCTGAATTATCTCATACAGTG